TGTGATTGAAGTTCATTATCTTTTATTGATGAACACCAGAAACTGTTCATTATTTCTTGCGAACTATCCTTTATTAGATTCACTATTGCCATTAATATTGCTTGGTTGTTCCGTGAAACTTAATATGCCCAGCTGTATGTTGAGTATTGCATTATTGCCGTTGGAATACATCCATGTACCCACGTCGTACGGATGAGCTGAACGTCGTATGGATGAGCTGAGCATCTTCATGCTAACAAAATATATACCAAATGCTGAAAAGCTATTTACATTATAAACAAACATCCACTAGGCTGCTGGTGGGGTATGTACACTTATTCTGCCAGAATCCTGGTCAGGAATGAAGCCAGTCGTTCGCTGTTAAAGAAAATTTTTGATTAGATGACGCAATCACATTAATATATATATTATATATATATATATATATATATATATATATATATATATATATATATATATATATATATATATATTATATATATATATATATATATATATATATTATATATATATAAAACGTAATGCTACAGTGGAAAACAGGCGATAAGACTATATATGAAGGCCAGAATGTAAACAAATATTTGTAAAGAAGCAATATGTGGGACCATATGAGACATGACGCTGGACTCTGTTGTTTAATGTTGGTGTTGGGAAGAAAATATGATCCATTTAACTTACCTCGATAGTGGAATTTCGGCTCTGACACTGAACACTTTTTTCCCTGAAAAGAGAAAGGCAAAATTTAATTCAGATACTTTTTCACAAGCTCGTTATATATATATATATATATATATATATATATATATATATATATATATATATATATATATATATATATATATATATTATATATATATACATATTATATATATATATATATATATATATATACATATATTATTATATATATATTATATATATTATATATATATATATATATATATATGTATAATATAATTTTAATTATATATATATGTATGTGTGTGTGTGTGTGTGTGTGTGTGTGTGTGGTGTGTGTGTGTGTGTGGGGTGTGTGTGTGTGTGTGTGTTCTTATAAATGCTGAAAATCATACATACGAATTTGCTCTGAACAGTCGTATTTTTTATTTAATAAAAACTGTAAATGCTCCTCACGGACATTTAAAACAAAATTTCACACAATTCACGCTTTAGTTAATTATTAAAACTATTTAATAAGGTAAAACATTTACATTTGATTGGTAATAGCAGATAATGAAGCACATTTACTTTACTTTTCTCTCAGGAATAAAACACTCAAAGTAATCTTCACCACTTACATCCTCGTCACTTTAATGCTCACTTTCTAAATTCTCACTACTTATATCCTAACCACTTAAATTTTTGTTGCATAAAAGGCGTATCAGTCTGTGAAATATTGCTGTATCTAAACCCATTAACGAAGTTAATGGGTTTAGATACACTGTTTTCTGTTATTTTAGTGCATTTATAATAATATAATAATAATAATAATAATAATAATAATAATAACAATAATAATAACAATAATAATAATAATAAAATAATAATAATAATAATAATAATAATAATAATAATAATATTAGCACTAATAATAATTATAATGAAATATAATAATAATAATTAAAAATAAATTTTATTATTATTATCTATTATTATTATTATTATATTATTATTTTATTATTATTATTATGATTATTATTATTATTATTTTGAACTATCATCATCGTATGTGAATCATGATACCTATAAGTACATAGGCACCGCCACCTACCTGGCTATCAGAGGAGAAGTCAATATTAGTACGGACGGTGCGATGATGCGCTGACTGCAGAGGTCGGAAGTTGTTGGCTACGGGAGCGTTTCTGCGGAAGTCTGAAGACCCTTGCTTGAGGCGCCTAAGACTTCGCATCTGTTGAGGGATCAGAAACTCTCTTTTTAGACACATTGCTGGTGTCTGCTGGTTAGGGCAGGTGAGGGTGGTCACACTGGTAGTGTCAGTGGAGTAGGTGAAATAGTGTTTGTACACACTGCTGGTGTTATTTGGATAGGTTTGGGAGGGGGGGGGAAGGTGCAGTACATACTGGGACAATTGAGGTAAATTATTGGTAATACATTGCGCAGTTTTCTATTAGGTTTATGCACATCATATAAGATTTAAAAAATAACTGATTGGCTAATTTTTTTTTCTGTAAGTTAAATGAAAAAGATTTGTAAGAAACGACGGTAAGCTGTCGTAAGGGTTGAAAATTATTAGAAATAGCCCAGCAGTTACGGCTAAAAATATACTACTAAAACGCAGAATATATCGTAAAGCTGAAACTTTGCACATGAATGGAACTTTGCCAGTTTATACCATACAGAAAATCCACTAAATTACCTTTTTGGAGTTTTATTCAACATTGAAAAGAAATTCAAGACATCAGTGCCAAAGCCGTGGAAGGTCAGCAATTTTTTACTTATTTACTTTAAATTTATCACAAACTATCTGACTTTACAGTACTTTGATGTCAGTGTCAATATATTTGATGTTTTCTCGGATGTCACTACTTACATGACGACGTCTGACTGAAGAAAAATGATAAAAACTTTTACAAAAATCCACAATAATTTATTACATAAACCGGCTTAAAATTTTTAGTTTTTACATAAATAGTTGCAAAGATATGTTGAAACTTTCTAAATTTGTCCTTAAATATGACATACTTGTCATTGATTAATTATTTCACATAAGTAGAGCCTTTGTTTCATGATGTCTAACGTGATATAATCATTTGAAAACAATTATCAAATAATATCACATAAATAATGTTAATTTTGGATTCATCTTGATGTACAATACTTTAGTGAGACATATCATGTATGTATATATTCATTATAAAACAATGTATATATATTCATTATATAACTATGCATTTTCTTGTCAATAGGTATCAACGACTGTACAAACGAGCACAAATGTATGAAAATATGAATTGATGCAATTAATTTAAACTGATAGAATTAAGCAAAGCTGAAGATGATTTGGATGATATCATAATTTGCTTAGGAGGAATACGTCTCTTTATGTCTTGTATACTCTGTACGACTCATTATATCGTATAGAGAACCAGAAGACATCTAGGCTCTGGTATACACAAGATTTCAATGGAGCACATGAGGTCTACGTGAGAGAAACATTCATTGCGTGTATTAATATATATATGTTAAGATGAATTTAAGTAGTTCTGGCCTTTGTTACTGTTTTTACTCTTGTAGAAACATTCTCAGAGAATAAAACTTCAAAACAGGTGGGGTTTGAATCTACGGCGAGTGAGTGTTAAAACTCTAGGTCTGTTCTCACTTCCTCCTTCACTGCACGTTGAATGGGTAACTACGTTATTCTTTATGATTACTTCTGTTGTTTATGGTAGTGTTTTTAACATTTAATATTTTATTTTTAATTGCCAGTATTGATTTCGCTAGAGTTAACGAAATCTATTGCGTCACATAATTCTTCAGGGCCTTCAGCCTCTATCAGTGTCTCTGTGTTTCTGATAACCTGCCTGTTTTTCTTTTATCCCAGTCTGTAATGGATTACGAAAACCGTGAGGGGTAAAGGACGTATTATATTGAATATGAACTACTGTACTGATCTCTCTAATTTCAGAGGAAAAAGGCATTGCTGATTGCTCTGATACAGCCGGTCTGTGTGTGATGTATGAATTTATAATAAATATGATCACGCAAAAAGCACATTATTGAATCAGAATTCATCGCCCAAGCTGAAACAGATCTAGATAACATCTGCAAAAGAGCATCTGTATGTAGCCTGGTTGCAGTATATTAAACAGGTGGGGCTGATGCGCCTCTTTATGCATGCAGAGCGACCCAGCGAGTGGCGCCTTCATCTTCACTGCGTTAGGGAAAGGGTACCTCATCTCCATGCCATTGCTCATTTGCATTATACAAAATCTGATTATTTGTACGTGAGGCAAATGCATGAGTCGCTAATCAAGACGCAGTCTGATGAATGAATAAGACTTACGCAGCAAGGAAACTTCAGTATACATAAGAGACATAACTTCTGAACCTACGTGTGGACTAATGTGTTAACTCAGTAAATCGTGATGTGTTCCATTTAGATTTTGAAAGCACTAACTAGAGGACGCGACTAATGAAAAAAATCATATGTATCCTTTCTCTTCCAGGTTGCCCTGGAGGTACTGTCTGGCATCGCTGATGCATCATCAGAAAAGCATGGCGACCTGAAATATTCATAGCAATCGCAAGACGCCGGCGTGTGATGAACATATCATGACTGGAAACCTAACATTCCTTTGAGATGTAAACTTCGACTTTTTTGTTGTTGTTGTCAGTGTTCACTAAAGTTTTCCTATGTGACTTTATATAGCGCGTCTGAGAGAGAAGGTACCGAGGGCATGAGTGAGGTATATGGTTGGTCCAAATTACATTGTGAAGCTGTATACAGTACAGGGGTGAACATATCACTACATCACACGTAAACTCGGGCTTTGAAAGTTCGCTACGAATTCGTTCCCCCAGTCACAGCAATTGTTCATGCGAGTTTTCTGTTCAATGAAATATGAAGGAGACTTGGCTGATTCCCTTCGATACGATGGTGTGAGAACATATTGCCCGCTGGATAGATAAACACGACTGAAGGAGACTACTTTCTTCACGTAGTTGTGGTCACGAGCACAATACTTCATAGTGTATGTAAATCGTACATCACTTACGACATTACACTGCACAGCCCCGATAATCATTGTGTTCGATGGATCCTATATGCAATATACAAAATTGTTCACCTATCAGTAAATAGGTATGCACCTGGGATTTGAAATGAGTTGAAGTAGGATTAACATTTCTTAACGTGTGAATTGGACCGTGTAAAAAAGAAGACGAGTACAATCAAAGTGGAAGCTGAAAGCCTTTAGATGACCACATATTGATGGTAATACGTTGGTAACAGCAGCTCAACCGGACTACTCATGTAAGGCAAACAAATCACTACTTAACACTATACTTATTCGATGGTTCCGTCATGGAAGTGCATAAAACCAAAATTGAATCAGAGGTTTATTGCACTGAAACTGTATGTAGGTCACTTGCTGTCAATATGGCAACAACAGGCACTGGTGTTTTTGAAATCTTGATCACCAAGTCTCGCTTTCCCATACAAGTCTGTCCTGAAATTCCCCTAAAAAACATTAAAAGTGGAAAAAGTTTTCTAAGGTTGCCGAAATTAACAGGATCACTGGATGTATGACAGGTTGAATATACGTTCCTCACGCTATCACAGGTTGTGATTTTGCCTCCACTATACTCATGCTATCACATGCTATCACGGTACATCCACTATGAACCCCACAAAAATATAAAAATATCTCGTGAAAACCTTTGGAGAAAGAGTGCATCTTGGAAGCGAGAATTCAGATCTATACTCCAGCGACCGCAGAGCCTGATGAAATAGCTGCGGCCAGAGAAACATTCCTCTTGAAGCTTTATGGCAGAGATGAATCTGGGACATCTTTGGCGCTGGCCAGTTTTTCCTTTCTCCTCCCAGCATCGCCGCCAACCAACAACCACTGGAAGTAAACTTTTCGAAACTCCCGTAACTGCTGAGCCTTTAATGGAATACTTGACTATATCCTCTTTGCCTTACTGAAGTCTCCCAGCTCAGGCTAACGGATTTCAACTTTATATGACCCCTTCAGTGTAAAGGAAAATGACAGGGAAACAAAGTTAGCTTTTGTTCCAACTATGTAACTAGCACACGGAATAGGGTAGCAGCACACTGCTGATGTATCCAATTTTGCTAGATACACTCCGGACTTAATATCAGGTCCAGGAATGACTCGCCACGGGTGTTCTACCGAGTGGCCGTGGAGATTTGTTGTACGTTTCCCGATGCATTAAACCCGCGTGGGTCATTCTAAGAGTGATGAAGGCTCGAATATTCATCTGGTTTCTGATCTGTCAGACTGTTGATGATCGCTTTGCCACTGATGTAAATCTGGTGCTTGTGTTAACTGTTCTTTCTTTGAGTAAATTCATCACTGCATGTACTATTGTGAGAAAAAGTTGCACTAGCCTTGTAGTGCTAGGCTGGTGGTGCTAGCCTGGTAGTGCTAGCCTGGTAGTGCTAGCCTGGTGGGGGTAGCCTGGTGAGGCTCGCCTGGTGGGGCTAGCCTGGTAGTGCTAGCCTGGTGGTGCTAGCCTGGTAGTGCTAGCCTGGTAGTGCTAGACTGGTAGTGCTAGACTGGTAGAGCTAGCCTAGTAGTGCTAGACTGGTAATGCTAGCCTGGTATTGTTAGACTGGTGGGGTGAGCCAGGTAGTGCTAGCCTGGTGGGGCTAGCCAGGTAGTGCTAGCCTGGTGGGGCTAGCCAGGTAGTGCTAGCCTGGTGGGGCTAGCCAGGTAGTGCTAGCCTGGTGGGGCTCGTTTGGTGGGGCTAGCCTGGTAGTGCTAGCCTGGTGGGGCTCGCCAGGTAGTACTAGCCTGGTGGGGCTAGCTTGGTGGGGCTCGCCTGGTGGTGCTAGCCTGGTGGGGGTAGCCTGGTGAGGCTCGCCTGGTGGGGCTAGCCTGGTAGTGCTAGCCTGGTTGGGCTCGCCTGGTGGTGCTAGCCTGGTGGTGCTAGCCTGGTGGTGCTAGCCTGGTAGTGCTAGCCTGGTGGTGGTAGCCTGGTGGTGCTAGCCTGGTGGTGCTAGCCTGGTGGTGCTAGCCTGGTGGTGCTAGCCTGGTAGTGCTAGCCTGGTGGTGCTAGCCTGGTGGTGCTAGCCTGGTGGTGCTAGCCTTGTGGTGCTAGCCTGGTGGTGCTAGCCTGGTGGTGCTAGCCTGGTGGTACTAGCCTGGTGGTGCTAGCCTGGTAGTGCTAGCCTGGTGGTGCTAGCCTGGTGGTGCTAGCCTGGTGGTGCTAGCCTGGTTTACCTGGAGTTTACCTGGAGAGAGTTCCGGGGGTCAACGCCCCCGCGGCCCGGTCTGTGACCAGGCCTCCTGGTGGATCAGAGCCTGATCAACCAGGCTGTTGCTGCTGGCTGCACGCAAACCAACATACGAGCCACAGCCCGGCTGATCAGGAACTGACTTTAGGTGCTTGTCCAGTGCCAGCTTGAAGACTGCCAGGGGTCTGTTGGTAATCCCCCTTATGTGTGCTGGGAGGCAGTTGAACAGTCTCAGGCCCCTGACACTTATTGTATGGTCTTTTAACGTGCTAGTGACACCCCTGCTTTTCATTGGGGGGATGTTGCATCGTCTGCCAATCTTTTGCTTTCGTAGTGAGTGATTTTCGTGTGCAAGTTCGGTACTAGTCCCTCTAGGATTTCCAGGTGTATATAATCATGTATCTCTCCCTCCTGCGTTCCAGGGAATACAGGTTTAGGAACCTCAAGCGCTCCCAGTAATTGAGGTGTTTTATCTCCGTTATGCGCGCCGTGAAAGTTCTCTGTACATTTTCTAGGTCGGCAATTTCACCTGCCTTGAAAGGTGCTGTTAGTGTGCA